TTATCATAGAATCATAGAATCATAGAATCACCAAGGTTGGAAAAGACCTAAAAGATCATCCAGTCCAACCGTTCACCTATTCCCAATAGCTCCCACTAAACCATGTCCCTCAACACAACATCCAGCCTTTCCTTGAACACCTTGAACACTTTCATTGCAACGAGGCATGGTGGTCTGTGAATTGGAAGAAGTGAGGCCATGCAAACTGCCCTCCTAAAGGTGGGTCAGCTGCAAATCAGAGTTGTGCCCTATTCTGTGGTTCTCCACAACTCAGGGTCTCAGGGTTACAACTCAGGGTCTAGGTTTGAGCCACCCTGGGGTGCATGATGAAGGTTGTAAGGTTTGATTCCTGGGGTTCACGCTGAGGCACGAGCCCAACTCACATTCGTACAGCACCTTGCTGATAACAGTAAGCAACAGCACGCTCTCAGCAAGGTTTTGCTGAATGCTGCATTGGGTGAATAACCCCACAGCTTCTTTTCACATTAAGAGCAATCGTCTTGCTTGTGCACTTTCCATTTTGCAGTTAGTTCCGTGTTCAACTTTGCAGTGGAATTGCCAGATCACAGCCCAAGCTAATGGTTGAGCACCAGGTGAGAAGATGTGGCTAACCCAGAGAGCTCAGGTGCAAGCAATGAACCTGAGTGACCAGAAGGAGTGAAGCCAGGATGCACCCCTCCTCACCCTCATTTAAGGGTTAGCAGTTGAGGGGGTGGAATCTCTCTGGACGAATGTTTTGCTTTTCTTAAGCTGTTACTGGTCATTAAAAGAAGTGGGTAAATTTCCTTTTTTTTTTTTTTTTTTTTTAAATCATGCTGTTGCTTGTAGGATTTGTAGTCTAATAGAAGGCACTGTCATTGCCTTCTCTGCTGCATGAATTTACAGAGCAGAAATTAAATGAGCGATAATTAAAGAGCCAGTGATATTTCTAATAAAAAGCTTTTTTCCCAGTGATTCTGCCAGAGCTCCTACACTTCCCTATGGGATATGGTGAATACCTTCAGTAGTGCTTGTGGGCAGTGTGACACTGTTGGAGGGCCGATTTGTATGTGTACCTTTCATGTCTTTTGGGAAGTCCCAGAAGATGGAACAGGCTGCTCAGAGAGCTGGTGGAGTCCCTGGAGGCATTTGAGATTTGTGGAAATGTGGCACTGAGGGATGTGGTTAGTAGGCATGGTGGGATAGGCAGGGGGTAGGACTAGATGATCTTAGAGGTCTTTTTACTCTTAATGATTCAATGATGGTTACCATGCAACATAGCAGCAGGAAGCATAGCACCCTGTGGTGGATGGAGGTGACTCCACCTTCGGGGAGCACCACATTTGAAAGATTGGAGCTCACGGCCTTGGTGTGAGGAGTGTCTCTGCTGCATTTCCTCCAGCTTCCGCACCCTGAATAGCTGTGTGAGCAGCCAGAGCAGGATCCCTTATGTGAGCATCCTAAAGCACAATGGCTTATAAAACAAGAACAAAAATATCCCTAGATATATCACATGGGAATCTTAATAGCTTGGGGGCTGCATTGAGAATAAGAGCTGCATGGAAGTCTCTTGTGTTCAGCCTGTACTTTGAGATCAAGGCAGTCATAACTTCTTCCTTAAATCCATTCTGAAACACTTGTCTTTGTCTTTAGGGAGCCACTAAGTTACAATGAAGTCTTATCCATGTTAGTTTAGTTCCATTTCTGTGGGAAAAGCTGATCCTGCAGTAAAGCAGGGGAGTGTGCAGAGGAGCCTGAGTGGGAGAAGTAGGTTTATCCTGACTGCATTGTGCAGTATTGCTCCTTTAAAGGTGTGGAGATCCAAGCTGCTCTTAACAATGCAGTGATGAGGTTAAAGAGTAGATGTGAGTGATTTTGTGAGTTATAGAAAGAAAATGGTAATGGAGGGGATTGTACTTGGCTGTGCTGCAGTTTTTCTCCACTCTTTATGGCTTGTTCTGTCTCCTATTGATTATAGTTTGGGGCAGTTTTACTGGAGGAACTCGACAAACCCTCAGGGTTATGGGCTTTCTTTTTCCTCTCAGTGTTTATTGAAGCACTGGGAATATTGTCAGCAAGGAAGAATTGCTCTCTTCTGTATCTAACTGCTAAGCTGTGGAAAACTTTCATTCCATTTTGTTGCCTTTCTGCCTTGTGTTATGGTCTGTCAGGATGTTCCTCCGTCCTTAAGTGACCAAGAGAGTTGATGGTTGTGTTAGTTTCCAAAAACAAGTAAACAAAAAATCACTGAGATTTTCAGTGTGATTGCTGCAGCACAAGGGGTGGCAATGCTAGAAGACCATGATAAAATCGCTGTTCTCTGGGATTGGAAAAAGGTGATGCTAAGATACATGATATGACTAGAGTGAAAAGTCAGGCAATAGCCTAGTGTAGAGCTGTGCCTTTAGGTTGGCTGGAAAAATGCTACTCTGTGATTGTATGCCTCCCTTCAAGCAATAACTCTAGGCTGAGCTTTGGGAAGAAGGATGAGTGCATCCTTGGTCCTTGTTAGAAGCAGGCTTCACCTTGAGGGTCTGGAAAAGGCTTTGTTTGCTGATGATGCAGGGCTTCCTAAATGAGTCCAGAGTGTGGGGATGCTGCTGCAAAAAGGGCTCTGAGCAGGGTGGAGGCAGAAACACCACTGCATTAGGGACTGGAGGAACACATTAGTTTTGTGTGGCTTACTGCTCTGTTTCGCTCCCCGTTGAGATACTGTGAGCCTCAAACTTCAGCTGAAGTAGATCTGGTCAGAAAGAAGAGCATGGAAGAGAAGACTTCTCCTCAACCTTTCCTTTGGCAAGCACTGATTTAGGAAAGCCAGGCAGTTGTTGGAGCTTGATTCAGACCTGACTGTGTGTTTGTCATGTCAGCGATGAAGGGATGCTGGGTCTTTGCCCTGTGTTTTCTTATGGTGACAGCCTTCTGGTACAGCCCTGCTTCCATCTATAGCATGGATGTGTGGAGGTTCTGGTGCTGTTTTGATTAAACTCTTAAGGTGATGGTAAGCTACTAATGGTGAGAAGCTTTGCTCTGCGCTGTACTCAGTAGGCTGCTTAGTATTAGTGGGAGTGGTATGCATATCCTTCCAAAATGATTTGTGTGATCCAAGCATACCTAGGACCACAAAAGACAAAGGCCTTCTGTCCTGTAGCTAAATCATCTTCCCAAGGAAGGGGGTAAAGTTGTTTTTTTTTATCTTCACTTCTCTTATCCTTCAGGGGATTTCAGGCAAGGTCTTCCCCTTTCCCCAGCACACCAAGAGCTTCAGGCTGCAGAAGCATTTCTAAGCATGTCCTGCTGGGAGCTCTTCCATTCTGTGCAAAGTACTTACACATGAAAATTTAATGAGAGAGTAAAAATGAGGCTGGGACTCATTCAGGAACTGAAACATAGGTCTCCTACTGGAGAATGCCTATTAGTGCCTTTATTATTATTGTGGTATTAGATAAAAGGGAGGAAAAGGGACACATTGGAAGAGGGTGTAGTGTTCAGCTGTGCCTGATAATACAGCTTTGCATTCCCTTCTTTCTTGAATCAAGTTCCTGTGTCCAACAAAACAGATCTTGTGTTTTGGAAAGGAACAAAGCAAAATGTTTACTTTCAAATGAACTTATTTTGCTTTAGTTGACATGTGCTCTTAGTAGAGTGTACTTATTGTCCAAGAGCTGTGAATCTTGCTTTCCTGCAGTCTACACCATTTGGGTTACTATGAAATCACTTTTTAAGGCAACATGGAAACCAACTGGCACTGATTTATTCATGGCAAGCATGTGCTTCTGTAGATACAAAATTGGACCTGATTCTCTTGAGGGCTGGTGGAGGGGCCCCCAAAGCTCCAACCCTTTACAGCCATCCACTCTGCTCTTCCTGCTGGCCTTGGGGTTTGGCTGGAGGAAATCTGGGCTGGGGGGCTCGGCCCTCACCTGGGGAAGTCAGTGCAGGAATGTTAGGGATGGGCAATCCTGATGGGGCCACTTAATGCACAATGTGACTGTGAGGTATGCAGTGACTGTGGCTTATCAAACAGCCTCAGCAAAGGCTTGGAGGATGGAGGCTGATTACATTTTGGTATGCTGCACTGGATTTTTTTATTTTTTTCCTCTTAGTAAGAATTCATTGTTGTTTGCTCAAAACTTCTCAAGGGTGGTCAGACAGAACTATGAACTTGCTTTGCATAAGGGAATCTCTGTAACCCAGCTGGTGGGGCTGCCTGTAGCTGGCTGGTTAGCTTTAAGAAGCTACATCGATAAAACACCTAGGACAATTTTTGACTATATTTCTGTTTGACCGGTGGACCCTGCTAATAACAAAGAGCAGTTCTCATCTGCCAGAGTATGTGGCACACGTTTTTTGGGAGGGAGGAACACACGGGATTTGAAAACAGAGGCGTTTCAGGTGCCCATAAATGCTTCGAAGGTCATTTTTGGAGGTGTCTCACATCTGTTCTTCTTAGTAATTTTGCTCCCCTAATCCCACACAGTTGGACTGGTGCAGCCTGATTCAGTGCTCGGTTACTTTGGTGTTATGCTGCTGTAATAACATCAACTTAAACAGATTTTTCAGTGGCATAAAACTGGAGTGACGTAATAGGGAATGAAACATAGAAACCGAGCAAGTTGCCTTCACAGGCAACACAACAAGAAACAATAAGTGCATTCTTTGCTAGACTGCTAGCAAATTTGCTTCTAAACTGGAGGCATATTCAGAATATGTAAGCTGTCTAAAGACTTTCATTTGGTAGGTAACTTTCACTGAAGCAGTGTTGCATAAATCTGTTACTTTATGCTGTACCAACTATGCCTTGCATTTTACCTGCTCATCTGATCTCCGTTTTATTTGCCTGTGTGTCTGTGTATATATGAATATTTTACAGCCTCTCTTGAAAGGGATTGCAGAAAGCCGTCTCACTTCCAAACACTTTCTTTACTCAGGGCTTAATGGGGGCTGTACAAATTAGGTCTCTTGCTACACTGGCATATCTAATAATTCTTTTTAAATTACGTATACTTTTTCTTTTGCAGAACCCCAGCTGAAGGGAATTGTGACAAGGTTATTCAGCCAGCAGGAATACTTCCTGCAGATGCACCCAGATGGTACAATTGATGGGACCAAGGACGAAAACAGCGACTACAGTAAGAAAAATTAGCCTGTTTTGCAACCCAATTACAATCAAATGCATCACCTAGTGGGTCTTGATTGTGAAGCTTCATTTCAGAGAAGATTGAATTAGGAAGAAGCCAGATGTTTTCTACACATTTTTTTTTTTAATCTATACTTCCCCTTTAAATCTTGCCTGTGTAATTTCATATGTTTCCTCTCCAATCTTGTTCCCTCCTGCCCCAATTCTGTAACTGCCATCTGGGTGGGGTGGAGAATAAAACCCATGATTTGAACTGCTGCCAGAAGAGAAAGGAGATTATATTTATACACATGCCACATGGGTAAAGGATACAGGGAATTCTCTTTCCAAGGAGAAGAGGAGATAATTGCTTTTGCTTTTTTTATCCTGAAAAATTCAGCAAGCATTGGGAATTTCCAAGCTGGAGAAATCCAGCTGTTCATCCAAGTCTCTTGCTTTGAGACTGAGATTATTGGATGTCCTTTCCTTTCCAAATGAGGTCTGCTTCCAAAAAAATGCTCAAAGGGGATTAGATTTGCACTATTCACCAAAGGATAGCAAAGTGGAGCCGTGTAGGTTTAAAAGTGATGCTCGTATGCAGGAGCCATAATGGTTTAAACCAGCCAATAACCCATATCCCTTTGCCAGAGCAGTGTGCAAGAGAGGGACTCTGTGAGGAAAAGAACCATATGTGGACAACCTCACCACACTCCTGTATACCTCTTACTCTGTGGGGGCCTGAGCCTTCCTACAAGAAGCCTGGCCTTGGATTTTCTCAGGCAGATGCCAGCACACAATGAGTTCAGTGGGCTTTAGCAAGTGAGTAATGAACCAGTGCTGGGTGGTATTAGCTGCTTTTTTTTCGAAGGAGAAAGACATAGGATGTTTTCAATCTGCAGAAAATCCCATTGGAGGCCTATTTGTCATCTGGCATGCAAAGAGCTTCTGGAAATGGCAGGGATTCATTACTCTCATATATCAGTGAGGACCAAACAACAAAGTAATGGGCTTAAATGGAAGCAGAACGTGGGTAAACAGCAGAGAAAAAGGAAATGTAAGGACAGTTCTGCAATATTTCAGGCTGGCAAATGAAAGAAGGGAAGCTTCTTCTGGCCCCTCCTCAGAGGGCACAAGAGCAATCTCCTGTGTCTCTGTGACCGAGTTAGCCCCTCATTGCCCAAACAGTTCTCATTTATGTCAGAGATCAGATTGGCAGCAAGATGCTAAGTACTTGTAAGCTTCTTCTACTCTGTTGTCTTAATTGGAAGTAGATGGGCTGAAGGGCACTTCTGGAGTGTCAATTTTTCTGGTGAGATGACAGCCCTACCTTGGCAGCCTGGTGGCGCAGGAGGTCATGGCTGTAATGTGCCAAGCCCATTGCTCAGTCATGGGCTGTGCAGGAGGGTTTGGTGCATAAAGGGGCATTTCAGATGGAGATTACAGAGGTCAAACTATCCCCTATGTCCTGACCTTAGGTCATATCAGAAGAGAAAAATCCAATCTGATAGTATTTGGCTCCTGTAAATGAGAAGAGTATGCTTTATTCATTCCTATTTAACTTTTGACTGCTCACTTTCCTTTATAAATCTTCAGCTTAAGTCAGTGATTTATATGATACGAAGCTTCCTGCTATCGCTTCAAAACTAAGTAACACTTTCCACTTCAGAAGTAACAAAAAAAAAAAAAAGCACACATCCTCCTTTCTATATTCCTTTAGATCTCTTGAATTTTGACCAGAAAAAAAACCAAACACATAAGTGTATTCAACTAAGTGAACAGCTGCAGACTTGCCTCACTGATATTTTCTGCTTTAAAATATTTATCCAGAACACTTCTGGCCAGCTATTCAGAAGCCTGCACTGTATTTCTGTGCAAAACTCATCAAAAATAGATAAATGATATTTTCCTGTCCCTGGAGTGGTGTTGGTTAACTCACTTCCACTGTCAGAGAAGGATGCTCTTGATGCTCGCAGCAGGTCCTTGCCACCATGTGTGGCCACACGTTCTCTGTTCAGAAGTCATCTTTGCACAATTAAATGCCCAGTGAATGCTGTGTTCCATACACTGACTCTGTGTGCTGAATCTACGCACTAATCATTTGAATTATCATTATGAAAGGAAGCCTAATTCTTGGGGAATGCATTAGGTTGGTTTACTCTGGCAAAATAAACATTTCAAATGAGATGCTGACATGTCCCTTAGATACATCTGACGCAATTAAAAGTTCTAATAAAAATCCAACTATTTGTATAAGAGGAACTGCTAATATTTAAGCAATTTTAAAATGAATTATCTATCTGGTTCCCATTTTATGGGTGTTCTTGAGAGGCTGATGGCATTTATTTTCCACCTCTTCTTTTAAAGAAAAAAGAAAAAAAAAAAAAAACAAAAAAAAAAACTGAGCCAAGTTCTAATGGCATTTGAATGGGCATCCAGCCAGCTTCCCACAAAACAGTGCTTGGGACATCTGTTCCTTATACCATACAGTTAGAGGCACACTATCTTAACATAAGCAAGAGGACAGGTTCTCTTCCTACTCTTATTGGGATATATGAAGAATTTTTTTGTATGTAAGGTAGCTCAGACACATAATCAAGTAAGTGTTCAGTGTTTAAAAAGTGCTGTGTGTCTGATAAACTACAATGATCAACGTGTTTGTGGTCAAAGGATTTAGCAGTGGAGTGTGATAAAAGTGCTATAATCAATAAGCATTGTCGCATATAAATCTGGTGGTGGGAGAAAACGGTGAAATGTAATGACAGCAAATCAGCAGAAGCATACAGTGTCTTAATTTTTCTATCTTCTGCAGGTTAAACCTGAGGAGTATGTCCATCCCATGTGGTTGCATATGGCATAGAAAATATAACTTTTGCAACAGAAGTGTTTAATGATATTTTCTTTTTTTACTACATCAGACCCCATAGGGTGGAATAATAGATTGTTAATGTTGGAAAAGACCACTAAGATTGTCTAGTCCAACCACTGACCATGTCCCCTCAGTGCCACATCTCCATGATTCTTGAACACCTCCAGGGATGGTGACTCCCACCTCCCTGGGCAGGCTGTGGCAGTGCACCACCACTCTTTCAGAGAGGAAATTGTACTTGTGGAGAAAAGAGAGTTTTGGAGATGGAGATACTTCCGGGTGGAACTTCTCCCCACTGATTCTGGGCATTATCACCCCACTGCCTAATGAATGCTTTGAATGGTCTGTCACAAGTTTTCTATGGAAGACAAATTGGCTGTACAGAAAGAATGATGACGCCCATTTTGCTTCATTATTTGCAGTAACGTGCTCCATTTTTCAGTGGGGGAAAAATTAGGCAAGGGAAATGCTTATAAATAGATTTGTTAATTACAGAGGGTTTTAAACCTTTCTAGTAGTGAGAAATTGATTGAAATATAGGCTTGCCTTGGTTACTGTGCTCCTCAACAGTAGAATTATGTTGTAATGCAGCTCTTTGGTGCCAGTAGCTACACTGGGGCTTGTCTGTTTCCACTTGGAACACTAAGAGTAGTGCACTTCTTGGCTCTTATTGTTCAAAGACCAATACCTACGTTGAACTTTACATTGACATGTTGAAGCCCTCTGCTTGCTTCCTATGAAATTGCTTAAACATAGGCACCAATTGTGGTAAGGCTTAAGCGTACATTTTGATATTCCATTGAAGATGGTGGTTATAACTGCAAGAAGTTGTGCAATTTCTGGGAGTTTGACAAATCTCTTGTGTTCTCCATTGTTTGCAAGCAACAATTTTTTTTTTTTTTTTTTTTTTTTTTTTTACTACTTTTCTCTCCCTATTTGCTATAAATGTTTTCCTCTTTAAAAGGGGATCACAACCACTTTTGTCTCATCCTCTCTGTAGTAATTCACGTGAAGGAGGTTTTAAAAACCATCTCATGATGGAGTTAAATCCATGTTACCTGGCATGTGTGTCTAGCAGGTTTCCTTGGAGAGTGATGCTGGCATTGAGTTACATTTGAGTTCTTCCATTATACCAGCTTTAACAACAGCCTGACCTGAGGAGCTGCAGCAGTTTCACTGGGACGTTTGAGCAAAAGCTGCTTTTGCCTTCAGTGCTGATGTTAAATCAGGGGTGGCACATCTCCCAGAGAAGGAAAGACTAAGACACAGAGAGGTCTGCTTCTCTTGCAGCCATTATGGGAAGACCTCTTCCAGGTGTAGAAATTTGTAAATGATCTATAAAATGAATCAGTTTGAGGATTATGTCCTTACAGTCAGTTGGAAAATAGGAATACTTCATTGTGCTCTGTCACTCAGTCCTTCTTCTACACTCTACCTGCTGTTGGGTCTCCTCTGGTCTCATTCAAACATCCTGGTCAGTTCTAGAGTTTTGAGCAGATTTATTCAAAAAAAGAAAAGTATTAAAAAGACAAGAAATGCTTAATGAACATGAAAGTCTGAATTAGTGACTAGGAAATTAGGAAAAAACTCCCATTCCAGGGTAGTTGTGTGAAGAGACCTTGAATGGAGCATTCCCATGTTTCTGCTTGACCCTGTGCCTGTTTTTCCATATGCCGAGCTCTGCCCATGGCTGGGTCCAGTTAGCTCTTTGTAAGCTGAAGCATAAGGTCCTGCAGCACCTGGGTGCTCTTGTCTTACAGATCTCAGTGGGAACAAAGCCATGTTAATGCCTGAGTGTTCAGAATATCAGTGCTGACAGTCCTCTCTCTTTTGAGTCCCTTAGAAATGCAGCAAAAGCCTGACCATACGTTAATGCTTAATGGAAAGGTCTTTCACTGAGATTCAGGGGCTGTTTGGAATCAAGCAATAAGAAATAATTGGCAGGAAGTTGCTGCAGCGCTTTAGTCATTAGGATGGCAGTAAAACTGAGTTCTGAAAGGTCGTATCTTCTGTCCTATCTAGTGCTGCTTCTGAATGAGGAGCAGAGCTCTGGTCAGGTCTGTGTCTCTTCTTCTGTCCTTTTTAAAAACTGCTTTCAGCATCAAAGCTGTGGCTGTGGATCCTTCATGTAGCTGGAACAGGACTTGTTTCCAACTCAGGACTGGGGTGGGCTAGCCCCAAGGCAAGAAGCAGCAGTGGCCACATGAGCTGATGTCTCAGTAACTTTTGCTTTTCTTTCCGCAGCCCTTTTCAACCTAATTCCTGTGGGTCTTCGTGTGGTGGCAATCCAAGGGGTGAAGGCAGGCCTGTACGTTGCCATGAACGCTGAGGGCTATCTCTACAGCTCAGTAAGTACTTGCACCCTTGGTGGCTGGGTGTTGTAGGTGGGAGGGAGGACTTGGAGGCAGTCACATATTTGGAAGCCTGTAAAAGCAGGAATGATGGGAGCTGCTACAAAGCCACGCAATATTCACTTCAAAGTGTCTCTGTGGAGCTTCGTGGTAATATTTCCTGACCTGTGAAGATACCCTTTGCATTCCTTTGAGTAGTTACTTAATGTAGGTCATGTTGTAGAGGAGGTTTTGTGGTTTGCTGGTTATATTCTGGTTTCATATTTGTGAAATGGGATGGACCGAATGGAATTGCTTCTGCATTGCACCCAGAAAACTGATCATAGGTGGTGCCCTGATGGGTCATGCTCTGCCTTTGACTGAGGTGTAAATCCACTGTAATACACTGACTTCATTAAAATGGTTCTGGACTGTTCTGTTGGCAGTACTTCAGTGGAGCAGAATTACTCTGTATTTGTGTGGTCTTTTTAATGCACATTAAAGATAAGTGAGGCATTTTTTACTGACTAATTCCCCTATAACTTTCTTAGATGGCATGAAAGGGCATGAGGTTATTCATAAGATTCTCATTTGAAGTAAGTAATTGATTTTCACATTGAATAATTGATTCAGTGATTTATTAAATATGGCAGCCCTTTGCCAGAAATTTTTATGCTTCAAATAACTTTGCTCTAGTTCTACATAGTAAGTAGTGATAGTTATTAACACGCTTCTCATTTCTGTGCTTATGATATCTTGAAAGCATATAGGCAAGATTCTAATCTCATCTCCATTTGTGTAAATTTACAGCACAGTGATTCTGCTCTTGTCTCAGCATTTACTTTGCTTTAAAAGCGCACGTGAGATTGGAGATGGGACTGCTGAAAGGACAACAGCCTCTGGTGCGAGGCATAAATGTTGATTTCCGTGGCCTGTCCACTGTGTGCCTTCCCATAAACCTGCAGACCATGCAGTGTTGTACCATGTATGCAGACAAAGGCAATGCTGTGTTCCTGGTCAGCTTTAAATCACTCATGTGGCTGGGATTTCCTCCGTTCCCTTGGGAGCTAATAATGCTCTCTTTCCTAGCAGCTCAGGGTAGAAAATGGCAAGTGGATATGTTAGTATGCCTGGCGAGATAGGTCTCAAAACTGGCTGCTTGTCAAGAAGAGACAGAGATCAATCTGGATCTCTATGGATGCCAGACGCTTCCTGTTCTTTCATAGTCCAGTAAACATAAATGACTGCCTCTAAATAAGTTGCATCAGTTCACTAACAATGAAAATCTTCTTTTTGTAAAGTGATCAGATCCTAAAGGTAGATAATACCAAGATATCTGCTATTCATGTGAAGTGTCTTAAAATGCTTCAAATCATACATTATTCAAATTAGATAGGTTTAATGGGGCCTGCTTGTTTCTAGCAATTGTGTGTATCTTAAATAGGATGGTTAAGCAGGGAAGACTAAGGATATGCTTTGATGGTGGTAAATGAAGTGCACCTCATTACGTGCCATGGCTTGACAGCATATAGCTCTGTTTAAACTAATACAAGAGTGAAGCTGTTTTTTGTGAATGTAAGGTTTCTGTTCATGGTAAATGGATGCTACTGTCCCATCTCCCCATCTCTGCTTCAGGGAGATGGAACTTCCCAGGGTGGATTTTCTTGTACTGACTGGTGTCTCTGTCTTACAACAACACATCAATAAATTCACTGTGCTTCGGAGAAGTCCCCAAGATAAGAAAGAAGATAAGAAAATTTGGGAATAATTAAGCCTGTTAGAAGCGGGGGCATGGGTCAAGCCTCTCATAGTATCAAAGACAAGGGATTAGACTAGGATCCCATGAAAGAACTGGATGTGACTGAGAAGGGCTCAGCCTGTCCAAGCAGCTTCTTGGTTGCTGTAGCATTCCTTGTGGGGCCGGCTCCCACTCCAAGCCAACGTTTGGCACGGCTGTGTCTGACTCAGAGACTGTGCTGGGGAATTGCTTTGGCAGTGCTGACAGTCTGCTCCCCTCTGGGGTGAGCCAGCCACGGCCATGCTGCCTGGACCTGACTGCTGTCTACACCAAAGGACATGTTGTCCCTGTTCACTTGCTCAGCAGACCCTAAACTATGGCTTTGGACTGGCTTCCTTTGTTGTTATGCTTGCACCTGCTTTATCCCTAGCCTTTTCTGAGAGATTTCTGGAAAATGGGTCAATATTCCCCATAGATAATGTTCACTCACACGGATCCATTGATAAATGAACTTATTCTGCTGCTTGGCTGCCTCACCTGCTGTCTGTCTCAGACTAGCCCTGCTTGGACTTCTTGTAATGCTCTCAAACCTGGAATTGTTTTCAGATAAAACGCAACTATGTAGGGATGTGCTGCTTCTTGTGGTTTTTTTTCCTCCTCTAGAACACAGTTTTTCTACAACTGTAGCTGAACACATTGCCACTGCAGGGTTTGGTTGTTTGGGGTTTTTCTGATAGTATTTAATCTGTGTGTGCCAGCTGGGACCTTGGCTGACATCCTTTGCACTGGATCAAACCAGAGGCTATTATCATCTTGGTCTTGGAGATGATTTGTGCCAGCTCCTTCTCAGCGTGGACTCTTGAATGAATGAGTTTAGAATAAGCAGCCCTTGGAAAAAGTCTTCCCACCACCAATCAGAGCTGGTTCTCTGATGCCAGCTTTGGTGAGAAAGCTCTTCGCAGAAACGTGCAGTACTCTCCAAGACTGATGTGCTTGGCCACATCCATACCTCTAGCAGTGAATTTCTTCATCTCTCCTGTGCAGTTAGAGATGAGCAGGGATAGTGTGGGGTTGGTTTACTTGCTGCCTGCAGCCAACCATAGATCCCTAGCTAGCTAGCTTTACAGCTGGCTGAATGTGTTAGATGCCAAAGCTCATTGGCTTGGAAATCAGCTGTTTATGACTTTAATGGATTGTTTATTTACACTTGAGACCTGCTTTTTTTTCCCAGACTAGCTTAGTGAGGTCTCTGAGGTCTGCTGTGGAATCAGGTGCTGAGCAGGCAAGAAAATCAGGCCTTGATCTGAGGCACTTGCCTTTGCAGACAGCTGGATGCAAAAGCACCATCCTCACAGCGAGCTTGCAGAGTCACTGGTGAGTTTCCGCAGAGGTTTGTTGTAATGTGGAGCAGCTGTCAATTCCCTGGTGATGCCCAAAAATATTTATCAGCACCTGTTTTGGGGAGATGAACAACCCTCCTGGGGATCCTCTGTTGGCATTTGATACTAAAGCAGCAATATACAAAGTGAGTGAAGGACAGCATTTCTACTTGTACTGTCTCAGCTCTTGGGAAGCTGAGGCCAAGGGCTGGTTGTTGCAGAGGACAGGAAAACATAGAATAAAGAGGTACGTCCCGCTCCAGTGAGTTTACAGCTTAATTGTAACGGGAGAAGACACAGAACATGCTCTCCTGTCTGTCGACCTGCAGTTAATGGCTTCACTACCAAATTAATTCCTACTTCCGCATAACCTTGCTAAGTGAAGTTGGAACCGTCCCTTCAGTCTCAACTCCCAGCTTTCTCTCCGTCATTCCTCTTTCATCTCAGAGGAGTATGGGAACGGACCACCCCAAAAATAGTTTGGCTGAGAGGCAAGATCCTGGAGCTTGTCATGGGCAGGGTGTCCCCAGGCCCACCCAGTCATGCCAAGTACACCGACGTTGCAGCTCTCCATGCGATATGTATAATTCAGTGGCACTGCGGCTGGGATTGGTTTTGCCCCAAGTGCATAACGCTTCTAAAATGTATTGCTCTCATATATTCCTTGTTGTTTAACTCTGAGTTCTAATTATTTTTGAAATGGCAAATCATGATACATAATTTATTGGGAAGACTGAGAAAACCCTAGCAGAGATGGGGAATGCAGAGGAGAAAAAAAATAGGTTGCTTACCAGGACTCAGTGTGATTTTACAGTATCAACCTGCTAGTTGAAATGCTGAAATTAGAGCTTGAATCACTTCAAAGATTCCTGCTAATAAGGGAATGATTATGCACAATAAAAAAAAATCCAAACAGCACTGAAAAAAAAAAAAAGTCATGTTAAGAGCTCAGTGTCTTTTCATTTTTCCCTTTCTCTGCTTTTTTATTCTGCTCTATCATTTTGCATAATAAACATGTCTTGCATAATAATAAACAAGCATCTGGGGAAGTATGTATATTAACTGTATTTTTTAATCTGCTTGCAATGCTGTAACTATTTCGCTACAACTCCTCCAGGGTTGCTGTACTCTTATTTACATCATTTCAAGGTCAAGGGCTGAAATCAATAATGCTGCATTCTCTCCCCTAATAGGCTTGGGGTGTCAACCTTCTGCCAATGGCATTTCTTTAATGCCTGTTTGACCTCGAGCCCTGCTAGATGAATCCATGAGAAGTGTTGATCCATTGGGCAGGTATCCTGAACATCTCGTTTTTGCAGACTTTGTAGATGAGCACGCTGCTGGGGGAATTCCCTGGTTTACATGGCTCATTAGGGAGCCAGGTCAGCAAAGACAGAAATGTCTCCAAAGGGAAAGCACAACAGGAGCCCAATTTAATGTGCTTTTAATTTTCCCCCCAGGGCACCCACTCTGCTTCGCTGGTAGTTTAAGAGGGTTTGCTGGAAAGAGATGTTAACTGGAAGATGTGAAATGCCTCTTGTCTCCAGGCTTAATCATGAATGTGGAGGGAGTAAAATGGATGCTGGGGGCAAGCAGTTGTGCCAGGAAAGCCAGTCCCTGGGAGCAGATTCCTACCTTGCATCGAATGTTCCTAAAATACAGCTGATGAGTGTTCTGGTAGCATGGAAACCTGTAAACACATCTATCAATAGCCAGGCGGTCACTTTTCTAACCAATGAGGTGCTCCACCCACGTTGCCTGGCTGTCTTCATCTCTCAGAAGCAAAGTGATGCTTCAGCTTTCTACGTGCCCTGGCACTGAGAGTTCCTCTGTCCTATGTGAGATTGGTGGTAACTGGGCTTGGGATTGTTCAAGATGTGGTGGCATGATTGAGATGTATG